TCTCCAAGCATGCGTCTGTGAGTAAAATTCCCCAATACAGAATAATTCGTACCGAAAACTGACTTAGTCGCTCACAAAGGTTCCAATCCTGGCTCTTGTTTTCTGATGTTTCCGCCGGCGGGCGACAACTATTGAGGTGGGTGAAACTGTGAAACCGACATGTTGGGGGGAAAGTCCCGGCGCCAAAGTTCCTGGGTTCCTTAGTTGGGCTGCGGCTCGCTGGTGATGACACATGGTAAAACAACATGATTGAATCCCAATTGCCTGTGTCACTACCGTGGGCCTGCCAATGGGCCGATGCAGAAACCGAGGCAGGATGAAAAAGAGGCCAGATGCCCAAACTGCGAATAAGATTCTACAGGTGCTTTGCCCAAACTCCTGACCAGGCAGCGCCAAGGCGAAGGTTCGCACTGAGTGGATCTTCAAATGTCAGTTCCTCAGTGCAATGGGTCCGATCAAGGTCGGAGTTAAAGCATCTCAAAATTGCCCTGCGCTTCATCCTTAATTACTCATCTTTTATGTCCAGCAATCTAGCAGCCTTAGTACACATTAGTGCAGGGTATACTCAATCTAGATGTTGCATGATGCTGTTGAATATCTTTTCATCTAGAACCTCAAACCTGGACAACAATTTCTCTCCAAGCTGCCAGCAGCCCATTGATCTGCGCGGAGTTTTGCAGCGCTTTGGCCAACCCTGGGCCTGTTCCCATAATTCCTCCCCCAAATAATAAACACCTGGAGGAGTTTTTTGTATTAGGGGGTATTAAGTATTGGGGCGCGAAGCTTCCCCAAATATCAAATTTACAATTTTAATAAAAGACATTCATCGTGTCATTGTGGATGAATTAGCCACCTCCCACCCTACAGCTCGTCCTTTGTTTTGAGTGCTGCAGAGTCTGATCCAAAACTTTCACACCTGGATGCTGTAGCTCGCAGCTGGTTAAAATTGCTGAAGCATCGCCGCTGCTAAGCCGCATCTGTCACCTCACCAACTTAGGGTGGGCGGGTGTGGAAAACATTGCGCTCAGTTTTCGAGTGTCTGGCCTTGAGCCAAAATGGCAAGGCCAAGACACTCTTCTTTGTCCATCACAAAAAGCTTTGCATTTTCTTGCACGACATTCATCGTGTCATTGTGGATGAATTAGCCACCTCCCACCCTACAGCTCGTCCTTTGTTTTGAGTGCTGCAGAGTCTGATCCAAAACTTTCACACCTGGATGCTGTAGCTCGCAGCTGGTTAAAATTGCTGAAGCATCGCCGCTGCTAAGCCGCATCTGTCACCTCCTTGCCTTGCGCGGCTGCGTTGCATTTGTGGCAGGTTATCATGTTGGTGTCTCCTGCCAAGAATTCATAAGTTGAATTGTAATAATGCCAGCCACACACTGTTCGCCAAAGGTGTAAAGGAGCATAGACCAGTGCCTTCGTGTTGAGGTGGACCACTTGGTTGCGATGAGATTTGACCAAGCGCGGGAGATACTTCACGCTGCCATCGAACTTGACGTTGAGCTCTTTGATGGCCGCCTGAAGCTTACACTTGGCTTCCGTCGTGTTCTCCTTGAAGTCTTTCAGTTCCGCCTCCAGCTTGTTGACCATGGCCAAACTGATTTCCTGCTCCTTGGGTGCAGGTGTGAACGGTGCAGGAACCAGTTTGTTCATTTCTACGTCAATCTGTTCCGTGCTTTTGACCAATTCGTTGCTTCCGAACTTCTTGTCGACGTTCAAGGTCATGGATTCTAAGGCTTCCTGCGCATACTCCAAGATGATGCTGCTTTTCCACCGGCCCAGGTATCCAACCTGAGCTATGGCCCAGCCTTTCCGGATGTATTGGAGAGCGCCTGACCTCGTCGCTGAATGGCCGGTGATGCCTGTGCCGTAAAGGGTATTCCAGTCTTTGATCAATTCTGCCTTCGTCACTTCCTCATTCTTGATCGACGTAGCCAAGAGTCCATTTGGGGCTCCTTTGAGCGCAGCGTGGTTCACCAACACTTCCATCACTGTGTATGGACATCTGAGATCACAGGCGTCGGTGCATATGCACTGCATTGTGCGTGATACGCCTCTTGCAGCCGTGTCCATCTTGGACTCCGTCAAAGTCAATGATACCATTCGGTTTGTGCAGTCGAGCTTGATGTCGTTGGAGGACAGCGCCGCGACTTCGATTTCCCGGAGCATCCAGTGCACGCCCACTGCGAAGAGGTGCATGGGGAGTCTGACCTTCAATTTCCGGTCGAAGTGGTCGGGAAGAATGGAGAAGTTAGCCCAGGCATCCTCTGGAACTTCTTTGGCTTTCTTCCTCGGGCCCATACCCCTTTTTGAGGCATTGATTGAAAGCTTGAACCACCTGTCCAAAGAATGTGTCCACTCAAAGCCCTGTTCCAGGTGGTAGGACTTGGCCTCAATGAGGTAAGTGTAGGCTGACTTGTAGCCTGCTTCCTTCAATGTGGCCGCGATGAGCTTGATGGAAAAAGGTGTCAAAGGGTAAGATTCCTTCGCCGCGTTCAAGATGTCCAGGATCGTTTTCCTTTTTGAACTCTTGGCAGCTCTTGAAGAGTTGGCGTAAAACGCTCTCTCCAGATTTTTGACCGCTTGTTCCCTGGCATTCTTGGATTTCGCCCAAGCTACGGCACCACGAAGCCCTGCTTTGGGGATGTTTCGGACGTTTCTCCTTTTGCTATCAGGGATGTCCTTGCGCCGTCTCTTTCCGTTGAAGGTGGCGTTTGGAGTGGGTACGGTGTCCGTTTCCTCCGATGGTGGAGGGAGATGGAAGCTTGGTACCCCCCTGGTTCTGAAAGGATTGTTCCAGTTGGATCTGCATAGTCTTTTCACTGGCGACGACAAAAGCTCGCGCCACCAAGGGCCTTGGCGGGTGGCTCCCAATGGTTTCCCTTGGGTGTCATTGAGAGGGATCAGGTTAGCTTCGATTCCTTCAGGTACAGGTAGAGGTGGGAAAACGTCACTCATCTCTGTTTCCGAAGCATCTAGAGTGGCTGCTTCAGGTTCTGAGCATTGCCCCTTCGTCCCCGTCAGGTCTACAACCCCGCCAAAAGGATTCATGTTCAATCGACCACTAGAACCCGGCCGCGTGCCCCTGCTTGGAGTCTGTTCCACGTGTTTGTCCTCCTCGTGACAAATGTCGCCAACGAAATTTCCTCCCTGGGTAACCGCGACCAAGGATGGTGTGGGTGTCCGGAGGAAGTTGATGAGTCCGGGTTGCCCGTTAGGGCTTCGTCCCACACCTGTGGGTCTGATCGCGGCGTTGCCGCTTTTGTAAAGTAAAGAAAGCAGGCCCTCATGCCTATGCCGAACAACAACACTGTGATTCCGATCAGCGTGAGGAGGAACCACGGCATCCATGAAACTTCCTGGGTGAGCAAAGCCGGAGGGCCCGCAGCTCGAAAAAGCGTGAGGTTGGTCATGTTTGAGCCTAAGCTGCATGTAAAGGAGAAAATGAAATAAAAGTTTGGATTATGATGGGTGATTCACCTGGAAAAGGAGCCCGCTCCGAGGCATCACTTTTACACCTTCCTTCAAATCAAAAACTCTGTCTTCGCCTCAACGCAAGCTAGCCCAGATTTGGTTAGCTGTTGCGGAGGATTGCCACAAACCGGGGGCCGAATGAGGTGTAGGCAGATGATAGAAGTCTGCACCTCTGGTACCTTCGTCCTTTTGGATGGGTATGTTCAAGAGGTCCTTGGGTTTATCAACAGACTCCCATTTATCCTCCCTTGACAAGTAATCTGCCACCTCATTGGCCACACCTGGGATATGCGTGGCCCTTAACCCTTCCACTCCGGCGGCTTCGCATTGAATTGCGATCTCTGCTCCAATGAAGTTGAGTGCTGCCGTGGGATTGGATAGCTTTTGAGAGGTGGATAGCGCCACCATACTGTCGGATTGAACCTGGAGTTCCAGGTGGCATGATGAGAGCTGGTCCTTCCATACCTTCAGCGCTAGCAGGACGGCCAGTGTCTCTACGATGCCCTGGGAGGCGGACGTTCCCCAGGCTTCCAAGAATCCAAGTTCCTTCGCGTCCGTCTCCGTCACTTTGAAGGCGAAGGCCTTGACAATTCTGTTGTTGATTAGGAGGATTCCCCCCATTCCTTTTGGACTTGCATCGGTTATCACCGTGGCCTTTGGGTATCGGCCCACGTCCAACTTGTACTTGCGCGTCGGCCGTTCCATCGCCACCCCGAGGAAGGAGATCATCCAGACCCTGGCTTGTTCGAGCTGTTTGACCGCAAAAAGCCCGCTTTTGTTCCGCTGGTCTTCACGTTGTAGACGTCTTTTGTCTTCTTCGCCCGACGCTAAGTCGTTGAGGCGGTCATGCAGCACTCCGTAGAAGATGGAGACCAGCCACCTGGCTTTCGGCAGGACTCCCGAGAGCCAAGATGCTTTGCCACAAACCTGGCGTAGCTCCTTCAATGGCGCCATACCCTTTCCTTCCCAGCCTCTGAGTAGTTCGACCAACTCGTTGGCAAACTTGTCGGGTATGGTCATGATGACGACATCTTCAGTGATGGTGAATCGGATGCCTATCCATTGGATCTGCGAGGAGCGTTCACCTTTGTTCAACGCGACCCTGAAGCCCAATGCTGCCATCGTCGTCAGGATCATGGCCAACACGCTGTTGCGCTCTCTGAGGGTCCCTTGCAAAGTCCAGAAGCTGTCGTCAAGATAGACCTGGTGCTGTGCCTCAGACCCATTCACCAAGGACTGTAGCATCCTCGCCAGCAGTGCTGCCACTCTGCTCCATACCAAAGGCGCTGTCTTGAACCCAAACAGCATGGCAGAGAACATGTAGAAGTCGTCATTGGAGACGTTGGGAGCTAGCGCGTGTGGTAGTTCATCCTTGTGGAGTCCAAGTGACATGAAAGCGTCACTTATGTCAATGACGACCAGCTCGCGAGCGTAACCTTCGCCGCCCCCGTGAGCTTTGCGCATGGTGTAGACGCTCCTGATTGTCTCCAGTGCGTCTTTTGGCCTGGGGAGCACCAGCTTTTCAGGCAGTTGCGCCTTCCGGTTGCCACCTGATCGCCTCAGATCCAAAATGATGCGTCTTTTGACACCTTCAGGCTTCTCCTTGATGATCAGCCCCAATTTGCTGATGGTGCCATGCGTCATTTCGTGCTGGACGATGGCTTTGGGCACGTCCACCATATACCCAGCTTGGCGGTATCTGTCAAGTTCAACCTTCGCCTCGTCCACATTGTCCTGAACCGAGGTGTAGTTGAGGAGTTCACCGCGCTCTAGCTGAGTTGCGGCATCTTCCAGCTCGGAGCCCCCGTGGTAGTCCAGGTTGTTGGCGTTGTCCTCATTTGGCGGGAAGATACCTGCTGTCTCGATGGTTCTCTC